TGGGAAGACATTTAGCTATACCTGAAATAGTTATCTTTTAAACTCATATTTTGAAATGAACATATACAAATGTTTTTTGGTTTCTATCAAGTGAAATAATGAAAGAAATGTGCAAAGATCCAGCTACAAACATTTCAGCTTATCTGCTTTGTTAAGCAGCAACTCCTTTGTATAACTACTTAAAGATAATTAAAAAAAAAATCAGACTATGTGAGCCAAAAAAAGAAACGAAAATCTCTACAATGTCCAATGAGGAGAAACTGATCAAACAAATCAATGAATATCCATATATAATGCTTACAATCATTCTATACATGGAAGACTGTTCATGACTAATTATTATATGAAAATGCAATGAAATTATAGCTGAGCCAGTTTTTAAAGAAATTTGTTGATACACAAAAGAAGATGTATGTCTGTGTAGGAGAAAAATCTGTAATAATATAAACTAAAATGTTAACAAGCACATGTATTGGGCAGGACTTTTGTTCCCTGCAGAAACTTTTACACAGAATACCACCTGGTGAAGGGTACAAATCAAATAAAAATGTAGTTATTTTTATTTATCTGTATTTTTAACTCATTTGTGATAAAAATTATTATTTGTATAAGAAAATGTTTATCTGTTGCTATTAAAAGTAATTTAGCAGTAAAACAAAATGTCTTACAAATAGAATGTCTTACAAATGGAAGTAATGCCATCTACCTCAGAGGGTTATAAAGTTTAAAGAATGATTTACGCAAATGCACTCTGTAAATTCTATAGCACTCTATGGATGCAAGAAGTTAATTATCTTGTTAAGATCATACCTTCTAAACCTAAACCAGTTTCATATGTACCCTGGCTGTTAGCCTTCCTAGCAGCAATTTCCCTGACAGAAATGTATGCTTTAGAAAAATTAGGGAGTATGATGTACAGAAGCAGGAAGGTAACACCAGAGAATGGCTGAGAAAGCAGAGGCACAGCCCTACAACAGAACATCACATCATCATCAAAATTGATTAACACAGCAAAATGTATCCACAAAGAAATGTACTGGCATAATGGGAGATTAGCACACTAATACACCAATCACAACAATATGATGTGACAAAAGTTACTTAAGAATGACGAATTGCTTATTAATGGGAATTTTCTATGAGTGTTTTAGTATTTTCAGACTGAAATAGGGAAGGCAACACCTCGGGTAAGGAGGGACTACTTATTGCATATGCAAAACCTAAGTAAAACAATCCCACTCACCGCTTATTACAAGATCCACTAGGTCAAATACTGAAAATAAGTCTCCTAATGTTCTGATCATTTTTGTGGTTTTCAAGTTCTTAATTCACTCTCCTGGACCTGACTCTGCCATGCTGTTTGTCGCTTTTTCCTGAAGGTTCCATCAGTCAAAGTTCCTGTCACATTTTATCTTTCAGTTGCTAAATTGAAAACATGTATGGACTGCTTTCATCCTTTGAAGGCAAACCCGCTTTAAAGCCAAATGAGGGTTTTGGATGAGCATGTATATATATTACAAAACATGTATGTAATTTACTTATACAGTTCAACGTTAGTGGTTTCTTATACGTATCTCCTTATGCACCAGTCACTGCTTTTTAAATCAGAACCGGAATCTTATTTTCTCTCCTTAAAACAAATGTAAGAGTTGCTTTTCAAAGCTCTATTTTTTCTACTTTCACAGAGAGATCACAGAAGTTGGATACAAAGAAGGAACAGTACTAAATGAATAACAGCTCAAATAAACTACATAAAAAATAAAAACACATAAAATGTTATTTGAATCTTTTCAAAACATGGACAGAAGGGAATATTTTTCACCCACTGAAGTCTATTAGAAGCTGAAGGAGTTTTCTAAAGACAACCATATAGTTGTATGCTTTAATGGGAACACAGCTCTCTGAAATAAAGCAAAACAAAACCCTCGAATTATTCTTTCTTGTTAAAAACTTTTTTTTAACCTGTCTGCTATTCAAACTCTAGTTCAAGGCACTCCTCTCGTACTATTTTTATAAGATGTTAATAAATAATGCCCTTGAGTTGGGCACTGGTGGCTCATGCCTGTAATCCTAGCTCCTTAGGAGGCTATGATCTGAGATTCATGTTAGAAGCCAACCTAGTCAGCAAAGTCCAGGAGTTTTATCTCCAATTAACCGCCAAAAAGCCAGAAGTGGAGGTTTGTCACAAGTGGTGGAGCTCTAGCCTTCAGTGAAAAAGCCGAGGGATAGCCCTGAGTCCAAGCCCCAGCAATGGTGCACTTGGACACACACAAAAACAGAAAACCAAAACAAGACCCACCAAAAAATGGCTTTTGAGTTCCTTTATTTTATATATGAGATCTAACAACACTAAACTAAAAAGTTTCTACTGTACTACTGAAAGAAGATCATACAATTTGGTAAGATGGTAACACCTTAGTAACACTGGCATTCAATCAGCCTGGGGACTCTGGACATTTTAAAAGCATGGTGATGCTTCTCAATGAAAGGAGAGCCTAAGTCAAGTGTATCACTCCGTATGGTGGGTAGGAGTTGAAGAAGAACTCCTCTTTGCATGAAGCACTGGCTGATTAGGAACTACGACACTGATGAGGCCTATGTGGAAGAGTGACACACAGAAGATCGTGGCACGGTGCTCCAAACGAAGAACGGTGGAGCGGGCATGTGGGTACAGAGAAGAGCTGAAAAACCAAGCTGAGCAGAGGCAGATTCTGCAATATCTGGGTACTACAAAGTGTCCCGTTCTGTATTCTGTGGCTTTCCTCAGTCGTTTAAGAAATTTTCAGCATCCACCTAACCCCTATAGCAAACAGGCATCTTCAGATGATAGAATCAGGCAGTCATCTAAACCCACAGACCTTTCAGTTTCTGAAACCTTGGCTTGCTGAAATTTGTCATCCTACTTTTTCTACATACTTTCTGCTGTAACTGAGGGTTTTTTCCCCCCTTATGAAAAAGTCGCAAGCCAACGTTTTTTTTCTTGAGGAGCATGTAGGGCAAGCATAGTCTAACTCAAGGTAACTTTTGTTTTATTATAATATTTTGAAGTTTCAACACCATTTAATGCTTTTGAGTTCTCTTTTTGAATCTTGACATTTATTATTTTAAACATTTTGTTTGGATTTATGCAATTTAAATAGGAGAGAGCAACCAGTATCTTAAAAGATAAATGCAGGGGCTGGGAAAGTGGCTCAGTGGGTAGTGCTTGCCTTGCATGCATGAGGCCCTGAGTTCAATTCCTCAGCTCCACATAAGCAGAAAAAGCCGTAAGTGGCATTGTGGCTCAAGTGGTAGAGTACTAGCCTTGAGCTGAAGAGCTGAGGGACAGTGCCCAGGCCCAGAGTTCAGGCCCCACAACCAAAAAAAAAAAAAAGATAAATGCAGCCAGTGGCTGGTGGCTCATACCTGTAATCCTACCTAGTCATGAGGCTGAGATCTGAGGATCATGGTTTATAGAGAGCCTCAGGCAGAAGGCTCCTTTATACCTATACCACATGGACAGGAAAGTCTTTGAGACTCTTATCTCCAATTAACCATCAAAAGCCCAAAGTCGATATGTGGTTCAAGTTGTAGGGTCTGAGTTCAAGCCCCAGGATGGGCATGTACGCACACACAATGCAGCTCTTAAACTCATACAAAGGAGGCTAGAAACTAGAATGTGCCCCTGGCTTACTTTCCTGACCTAGACTGATCTCCAACTATGCAAAGGTAATAATAAAAAATTTGAAGGGCTCGGGGTGTGACTCGTGGTACAGAACTTGTTTAGCATGCACAGGAGCTTGGTTCCATCCCTATCATCACAGGCATAAATAAAACAGACTTCTCCTAAGCAGACAAATGTACTTTATCAAAAATATCAGTAGTAGTAGGACTATTTATATCTTACTCTAAGCAATTTTTGCTTGTTTTCTTTCATGGTCTTCTATATAGCCTAGGCTGCTCTCAAAACTGTGATGCTCCTTCTACTTCTCAAGTACTGATAGTACTATAAAACAGCTTTGACATTAAAAATAATAACAATAACAAGTCCTTATTTGAAGCGTTACTACATTCAATCCCCATACTTTGCAGAGTAGCTATCTATGATCTACTCAGCCAAGCTGTTTTCCTGCTGGTAGCTTGGATTCCTGTTTAAAAGCTGTGCCAGCTCTTCTTGGGTGTTCTGGTGATGAAAATGATTTTCCTTCAGTTTTAGCCAAGACTTTTTCACTCTTAGTATCTTATGGAAAAACCACATAGCTATGGCACACCACAGTGACCAGGCAGGGGGTAAAAAAAGAAAAACTAATTTAGAGAATTATTTGGATATTTAAAACTATAGTGGAGGTCTATTAAACTAAAATTCTAATTAATTTTTTAACTTGATTTCATGCATCAAGATAACAGAAGTATTAATTTTCTGATTTTTCTTAAAATTGGAGATGTCCCTAAATATTATTTTGTATGTAGTGGTTTAAAATGTGAAGAAAAAATGATCATGGTGATGTAGGCCTGTCATGAGATCAAGAAGGCTAGCTGGGCTACATAGTAAGATTCTATATGTATGTATGTATGTATAAATAAATAAAAATAAAACAAAACAAAAAATAAAATAAAATGCAAGTAAATAAAACCAAGAAAGAACAGCAAAAAATAATCATGAGCCAGGAAAATGTTTCTGAAATAAGTGAAAAAAAAAAAAAAACAAATACAGCATGATGGAAAGAAAGCTATGACAATTCTAAGACACTTTTTTAGCACAGGGATCCAGGTCACCTGAAGCCTATATTCTATTGCCTTCTCACTGGAACCAACCTGAAAGCATTCACTCCTCTTGCTTTCCAAGAAAGACTGACTAGGTGTATAAACCAGACCTCCATAGGACATACATGTTACAGGTTCAAAGTGCTTCTCTATGGGTATACATGATTTTGAAAGGTTTACAAAACATGGCAATCCCAAACCCACCCTCCAAGAGAGAATCTATAATACTTGACCAAACAGAGAGATGAGAATCAGACCTGATTGATGGAGTTGGCAGCACAGGATGCAAGGCCGGTTCCAAGAGAAGTAAGCAGGAAGCAGGGCCAGTGAAAAGGGACTGGGGCCAGTGCAAATCCAGCAGCTGTGGTGCTCACAACCAGAGCTGCAACACAAACAGAGCAGGCAAGTATTACCGGCAAGACTCTCACCCAGTTACCTCAAACAGTGTAGGAAGACTGGCTGGCCATTATCCACACAAGTCAAACAATGGCATTCAGAACACAAGCTATAAGTTGATATTCTTTCATTTTAAAAAAATCTATATTTTTCTGTAGTAAAATTGCATGTGCATATTTTTAATTCCACTGTACAAAAAAAGAGTAAATAAAATGAATCTTGTAGACTCAGTCATTCACTTATTTATTAGAAAACATTTACTAAAAACGAAATTTGTGTTAGTACTGTGCTAGGCAGTAGGAACTACAAAGGATGAAGATGTGAACTTTCATGCCTACTCTTGAGCCACTTGACAGGGAGATGGAGGACATGCATTAGTAAGTGTCAAATGGTAGCAAATAGTCAAGGTCTCAATTCTATGGCAATTTGCACACAGGCCTGATAGAGGGCTTGCCTCTAACAGGAGAAGGTACTAGGAAGAGCTTGCCTGTAATAGAGGAACATTCTGGGGTCAGAGTAAAAGGAGATGTTAATCCAATTGTCACAAGAATCAAAGAAGTATAAGGCACAGAAATACAGTCATCTGACTCCAGCACCCACTAACCCTGTTCGTTTGGGGTAATTCCTGATGCTTCTTTTTCATGGTTCACAGAAGTTCTACATAGGGCCAGTAAATATCCATGAGAGGGACTGATATGGGAAGACAAAGGAGAGGCACAAAACTCTCCTAGAGACCACGGCTAACCCTGTGGGGCTGGACGAGAGCATTCACAAGCAGCATGGAGAAGTGGGTAAGAAAGTCAGATCTTTATCAAGGGATGAGGAAAGAATAACAGACACAAAGAATCTTGAAGATGGGGTTGCATAGGTGCTCAGCAGGCCAAGTGAAATGACAAAGGAAAGAGGACAGGAAGGTAGTACTACAGCCATCAGTAAGTTCATGCTAGAGAAGCTGGCAGCTCCCCAAAATGGCCGTAAACTGGTGGCATGTCCTTCAATCCAATCTTAGCAGAAACACAGAAGCATCCTTGCTTTATACTTGTTTCTCATAGACAGCCCCTTCCCTAATACCTAGAGTAGATAGACAGTTCTTGATATTTCTGTATCGTGCATGTGCTGAAATTTTTATATCATTCAGTTTCATCACTGTAACAAATATCCAGGATAAACTTATAAAGAGAAAAGGTTGATTTTCCATGCAGTTTTGGAGGCTCCAGTCCATGATCAGGAGGTGCACTGCTGTGAGGCTAGTGGAAGCCAGCACATAATGGTGGAAGCACATGGTAGCAGAAACTACTGCCCTCATGGCTGAGACATAAAAAAGAGAAATAGAAGAAGGGCCTGGTCCCATAGTTCTCTTTAAGGGCACAATCTCAATGATGCCAAAATCTCTCTTTAGGCCCATCTCTTTAAGGTTCCATTGAGGGGGGGAAGTCTTTACAATGTGGGCTTGGGGGAGCACTTAAGACCCAAACCATAGCACCATGTGAATCTCAAGAAATCTCTAAGGCACATGTATTTTGAGAAGGAGGTCGTTCCTTTAACTCAAGAGGTTTCCAGAGAGGTCTGCATCCAAATCTCCCACAGAAAGACTTGCCTCTAGAAAGGAGGATGTGTTCCTGGGTTACAGCAGATAAAAAGAGCAAATTTCAGGAGTGGGAATGAAGGTTTGGAAAAAAACCGATTACAAGACAAATAGATTAACCAGGGAAGGCAAAGGGGGCGTGGGGGGGGGCTAGTCAGAAGCCTCAGGGGACTAAGGATATGGATTAAAAAAAAATTACTACCACAGACTTTGTGTCCAGAAATCTAGACTAAGTTGTGTAAGTTTGGAAAACAAATTAAATTCTAAAAGGCTTAATTTGCTCACTAATAAAGTGGGGATAATAAAGTACTTAAATCACAGAAGTAGTGAAGATTAAAATAAATAATACTTAGAACAAATATGAAAGTTTCAATAAGCATCTTATAAGAAATATTGTTATTGCTTTCATTATTATCACTATATTATTGTGACATATTGAAAAAATTACCTGTAACAAAGTACATAAATAAAAAATATGTTAAGCAAGCAAAAAAGGGGTATAAAATTATATATACATGTCCTAAACATTTAAGTTTAAAGAACCAGATTTTATATACCAAGATTCCTAATCAACTTTTATTGAAGGGAATCATTAGTACTGTGATGGAAGTGAACCCTCATAAACGAAGATATCGGACAGAAAAAATACACAGGTACAAATGACAACTCTGTATTTGTGAAAAATCTTTCCATCTATAAGGATGTAATGAGATTATTCTCTTTCATAATCACACATAGAGAAATAGAAAGTATCAGTTAATAGACTGTGAAATAGCCAGAGACAGTGAAATCCTGGCCAGAACCAAAGTATTCACTTCCACTGAAACATGTCTCTCTGCAAGCCTACCTGCCTGCTTTAAACTACTTTCTTTATTTGACTCACACAAAAATTGGTGGTTTTTTTTTTTTTTTCCTTCTCCACTTGCAATCTGAAGATCTGACAACACTGAGTTTACATTCTATTCGGCTAAATACTACTTGGCTAAGATAAAACACGTCTTTTCATTTGGGGGAATATATTCTTCAAGCCAACAGTCCTATCATTTCCCAGCATTTAACACCATATTGGCACAACCAACCAACCTTTTTGATATCCATAGCAATTTAACTTTCTGCCACCTGTCACCAATTGGGGAAAAAAAAAAAAGTCCCAGGGAAAACATAAGATGGCTAAGGGAGGGGGAGCTTCTTGGTCAAATGCATGCACTGTCCCCTCTTAACCCCTCTCTGCCTGGGCAGGGATGCCTGCCTGGACTAGATACTACAAACACAACTGCACACAAGCTCACCGATATCTGCTAACCACAAGGAGAGGGGTAACAAAAATAAAACACTTATGTAGAAGGAAACACTGATTCTTTTTGTTTTCAAATAAGATGGGGTCTGGGTAGGCAGCCCAGGCTGGTCTCAAATTCTTGATCCTCATGCCTTAGCCTCTGAGAAATTGGGTAAGATGTGTATACTACCATGCCCGGTTCCAAGGAAACACTGAAAATTTGAACTCCAATTCTGTGATGACCTATACATGCTCCAAAAGAAAGTACCAAGGGCTGGGAAAGCAGCTCAGTGGTAGAGCACTTGCCTTGCATGCATAAGGCCCTGGGTTCAATTCCTCAGCACCACATAAGCAGAAAAAAAAAAAAAAAAGCCAAGAGAGGTGCTTAAGTGGTAGAGCACTAGCCTTGAGCTGAAGAGCTGAGGGACAGCACCCAGGCCCACAGTTCAGGCCCCACGACTGGACTAAAAAAAAGGTGTCAAGTTTATGCCAGGGTTTATGGGACATTTTACTCATATGTCAATAGGGTGGGAAAACAATCTCTCATGTACAGTCCATCTGGCTTTACCTATATACCTTCAATGACCACAGAGGGAAAGGCACCATTTTTAGAACAAAATAGCGCTCCCTCCCTTTAGAATTAGCAACTAGCACCCTGCATGAAGAGGCATTTTCTTTCTTTATGTTATCACATTGTCAATGGCAAAGCCTCATGACCAGGCCAATGGCACAGAACAAGAGCCATAAACTGGAAGCTCTCCAGACAGTGAGAAAGCATGGCTGGAGAGAAAAATCTTAACACCAAGCCTGATCTTCAGGAGGAACAGAATCCTTCCTACCAGGCAGGAAGAGAGGTTAATGGTATATGGATGGGAGCATCTGCAGGAAGACAGATTGAAGGGTATGGCCTTTTGAAGAGAGACAATTCCTTTTATTCACAAAGTAAATCAGGCAAGATAATTATTGATTAAAACCTTAAACCTGAAACCAAGAACAGACTACTCATAAACAACTGTACAAGTCAAAAGCAATCTACTACTACTTTCTCAACACATAACTATTAAAATCTGGAAACACTAAAAGGACTGCTTTGGATATCTCTAAATATCCTGGCCAACTTTTTGTACTGTGCTTTATAAATAAATAATGTTTTAAAAGTCAGCTGCTGAGGCTGGCATGATGTGTGGGTCTACAACTTCAAATGTGCAGGTCTTCCCTGCACTTGGGAAGCAGGAAGTATGAATTTGAGACCTGCCTGGGCTACATAAGGAGACTGTCAAAACAAAACAAAAACACAAAAAAAAACTGAATTACCATCACTGGGGACAAGAAAGTGGCATAAGCATTTAAGTATCAAAAGTAACAATGTTCTACATTTGCTTGCTTTCAAATAGAAAAGAGTTCATAGTTACATGAGAGGAAGAGGATAATCAGAGGAGAAAATATTTGATTCTTTTTATCTGGGTGGTAAATGGCACAGAAAGATTTGGACTCAGGGGTCTTCCTGGTAAGTTGAGAACAGTAGTGGGTAAAAAAACTGACAAAGGAAAATGGACACAGTTTTTAGAGAAAGGAACAGTAGCTAAATTTACAAACTGAAAATGCTGTCTAGTTTTAAAATGGACAAACTTTAAATGAAAACACATATTAAATGATAGTAACTACTATTCTTGTGAACAAAATCTTAATTCTGACCCTTTCTAACAGGCTCAAAAGCTAACAAAGCATGTATTCGCTTACTTCATCTCAGTAATTAATTTAAAAGAGAAAGGCAGAGAGGAGTGATAAATTGTACAAGTAGAATTGACCAAAGCAATATTCCCATACAACACTGCCACGACTGTAATTAAACTTTTCATTGATTTCCTGGGATTCATTACATGGAATCATTTTGCAACACCAAGATCTCATTAAAAGTGAATGTAATATATTCTTTCATTAATAACTCTCGAAATTATATTTTATTTGGTAATCTCATACTCTGTCCCTTCACAAATAAACATAAAATCAATGCTACTGATGAAGCATGACCCATCCAATACAGACTGAGAGGCATGGACTGCAGGCCCAGGGTGACTGTGGGAGCCCAAGAAAAGTACTATTCTTACTTCATAGAACTTGAACC